TTTCAAAATAAATCTACTTTTCCATGAAAATTTAAGCTTTTGTTCTTTTTCGGCCCACATAAACCTAGACCTTGTTTATTTGACCCTAGCCTTTGAGTTTGACATCTTGCTCTAAACATACCCTCCCCAGTCTTGAGTCCTTTCTACTTTTATAAGTAGCAAAATATTCCACACGGCTGTATCCATGTTAGCCCAAAGCTGGAACTTACCAGTTACAGAGGCACCTGTTCCTACAACCCTGTTTAACCAGTGGCCTGCTATCTTTTCCATCCTACCGACAGTCTCGGGAAGTTTTCAGCCTCTGCCTTCAGGTTTCCAGCTTTCACCAGTTCCCCCTGCGGAGGCGTGTTTAGTACCCCATTAGCACCTCTTTGCACCTCAGTGTGAATCCCCTAATCTCTTCAAACTTCCCGGTACAAATCCCTCTTCCCCACCCGGCCCAGCTCCTACAGCCTCGCCATCTGGGAGGCAGTGAAGGAATTAGCAAAGGAGCGGGAGCCCATCCCTCAGGGGTGGCTGCTAGCCTTTAACGGTATCAGGCCCCATTTCCGCCAAACAGTTAGAAAGCTCCCACCGTGGGCAAAAATTCAGTCACTCCATGGCCGACTGTCTACAGCTTTTCAACACCACAGAATGAGTCCACACCATTCCCCTGTCCACTGACTGGCAGGGTGAACACTTCCTCCCTTCCTTCCCACTAGTCAGCCCTCAGCCCCCCACGCCCTGGGCAGTTCTAAAGGAAGTCACCAAATAAATCACTCCTTTTTTAGAGCTTTTAAAAAAATATATTCTATTCTCAGCATTTTTGAACAGTCAACAAAATGGAAAGAACTTGACAGTGAACCTATTGCCCAATACCTAGAGGCAACTATTAGGTTTTAGCATATTCTTCACTTCACATAACAATAAATTTATTTTCTTTTTTTTAGTCTGACTTTATATTTTTCAATATATTTTTATTGATTTCAGAGAGGACGGGAGTGGGAGAGAGAGATAGAAACACCAATGATGAGAATCATTAATCAGCTGCCTCCTGCATGATTCCCACTGGGGTTCGAGCCTGAAACCCAACCAGGTGCCCTGACAGGGAATTGAACCCTGACCTCCTGATTCATAGGTTGACACAACCACTGAGCCACACTGGCCGGGCAACATTAACATTTTATTATGCATGTTTTTATCAAGGACTTACCTGTCTCACCCATCCTTCTATCCGTAATTAATCCATATCATTTTTTTATATTTTTTATTTATTTTTTACAGAGAGGAGGGGAGAGGGATAGAGCGCCAGAAACATCGATGAGAGAGAAGCACCAATCAGCTGCCTTCTGCACACATCCCCAGTGGGATGTACCCACAACCAAGGTACATGCCCTTGACCGGAATCAAACCTGGGACCCTTCAGTCTTCAGGCCGATGCTCTATCCACTGAGCCAAACCAGTTAGGGATTAATCCATCCCACTTTTGTGCACTTGAGAATAAACTGCACCCCTAAACTCATCAGCGTGTCTATTAACCAGAATTCAATATTTGCTTACAGTTCTTTCTTTCCATGTAAAATTTATCTACAATCAATGAGTTTTAACACATGCATACATCCGTGAAACTCAATGAAGCTACCAAGATATAGAGCATTACCACTACCCCTGCACTGCCCTCAGGCCTGTTCTGACTCAGTCCCTGCCCGGACTCCACCCGCTCCAAAGGCAATCAGTCTTCTGATCTTTTCCCCACTGTACATTAATTTTTTCTGTCCTGGAACTTCATATAAACAGAATCATAGGGTAGGTACTCTTTTTCCTCTGGCTTCCTTTCCTTAGAGGGCTGTTTTTGAGATTCATCCATGGTATTGCATGCGGCAATACTTCCATTCTTTTTGTTGCGAAAGAGTATTATCATATGATGATATTATGAATAGGCCATAGTTTATTCATTCACCTGTTGATAAAGACTTGAGCTGTTTCCAGTTTATGGCTTTTATGAATAAAGCTGACATGGTTATCTGCCTGTAGGCCTTGCGGCACATCTATGTTTTTATTTTTCTTAGGTAAATATCTAGGAATGGAGTTGAATCATAGGAGAGGTGTATGTTTACTTTTGTAAGAAACTGTCACATCTTTTTCTGAAGCAGTTGTACCACTGCTCATTCCCACACAATGTATGAGGCTTACAGATTTTGAGCCGAAGAATAAAAACACAAACTGCTTTAATTATTTTCGCCACCTGAAATTTTTAAATAATTAGGTTCAGAATATTCTAGCTAACAAATGGTTGCTTTGATTAATTTCAAATGAACAATTATTTAAAATGAGGGGATGACATTTTCACGATAAAAAAGAAAATGCTCAGCCGAAACCGGTTTGGCTCAGCAGTAGAGCGTCGGTCTGCGGACTGAAAGGCCCCAGGTTCGATTCCGGTCCAGGGCATGTACGTTGGTGCGGGCGCATCCCCAGTGGGGGGGGGTGCAAGAGGCAGCTGGTCGATGTTTCTCTCTCATCGATGTTTCTAGCTCTCTATCTCTCTCCCTTCCTCTCTGTAAGAAAATCAATAAAATATATATTTTTTTAAAATGCTCAGCCGAGACCGGTTTGGCTCAGTGGATAGAGCGTCGGTCTGCGGACTGAAAGGCCCCAGGTTCGATTCTGGTCAAGGGCATGTACATTGGTTGTGGGCGCATCCCCAGTGGGGCGTGTACAAGAGGCAGCTGGTCAATGTTTCTCTCTCATCAATGTTTCTAGCTCTCTGTCCCTCTCCCTTCCTCTCTGTAAAAAAATCAATAATATATATATATATATATATATATATATATATATATATATTTTTTTTTTTTTTTTTAAGAAAATGCTCAAAAAACACAGGAATAGGAGAAAATGGCCTCAATCTGATAAAGGCCATCTTATGAAAACTCATAGCCAACAGCATACTTAAGGTAAAAGACTGAATGCTTTTCTCTAAGAGCAGGAACAAGACATGGACATCTGCCTCCACCACTTCTATTCAATATTGTTCTAGAGGCACTAGTGTGGGCAATTAGACAAGAAAAAATAAAAGACATTCAGACTTAAAAAGAAGTAAAATTACATCTACTTGCAGATGACATAATCTTATATGGAGAAAATGCTAAGGGATCCACTAAAATGAGATAGAAATTTTGTGACACCCAATAGAAATCTGTGTTTCCGAGGTTTCCAAAAATGCAATGGCTTTCTTCAAACTCTATTTTTATCCTCACACTTTTTCCTCCACTCATGGCAAAAACAGACCAACTCCCTTTTATTTTAAATAACTTCCCAGGCATTCCCTCCATTCCATCCCTCCCTGAAGGTTTGCTCCAGTAATTATCATCTTTGACCTGCCCACCAAGACCCTTGTTCCTACTTCTCTGGATCCCCAGGTTCCAGTTTCTCCCTCCTGCACTCCCTTCTAAATCGTGCTACTCTCCTGCTCAGTATTTTAAAATACCTCCCTACTGCCGAAACCGGTTTGACTCAGTGAATAGGAGCGTTGGCCTGCGGACTCAAGGGTCCTGGGTTCGATTCCGGTCAAGGGCATGTACCTTAATTGCGGGCACATCCCCAGTAGGAGGTGTGCAAGAGGTGGCTGCTCAATGTTTCTCTCTCATTGATGTTTCTGACTCTCTATTCCTCTCCCTTTCTCTCTGTAAAAAGTCAATAAAATTTATTTTTTAAAAAGTGTAGGGTTTAGAGTTAGATCTGAGGGGCTCTGAATAAAGTGTGTAAAGCCTCCAGGCAACATGAAAGAATTTATTGTTTGCCCTTCTCCCTTTTAAAAAATGAAGTCCAGGTTGTCCAGGTTGCGGGCTCCAGTTGCAGACTAGATCCCAAGTGGGTGGCATGCTGGGGGCGGCCCATGAATGCTTCACTCTCCCATCAATGTTTCTCTCTCTCTTAAAAAAAATCAATAAAAATGAAGTCTTGGTTAATCATTAAACCAATCATGATATCTTGAGGGGTTAAGGTGGCCTGTACCTCCGTTTCCATCCAAACTGCTCACTGTTTTCCTCTCCTGCTACCCTCTCAAATAGAATACTCCCCTACTGGGTGGAGGCATTCTTTTTTTTTATTGTTTGAGCATTATAAATAGTAGTACCTATGTCTCCTTCCCCTATCCCCCCATCCCCACTCTCGTATCCATTGGTTACGTTTATATGCATGCATACAAGTCCTTCGGTGAGGCATTCTTCTTAAAAGCACTTTCTAGCTCAGAGCTAGCAACTTTGTCCTCTACAGTAATGCCAGCCACAGTCCAAGCCCTCATACCCATGCTCCTGATCAAGACACGTTAATTTGTGTCCTTTGCCAGTTCCAACTCTGCCACCCCCATGTGCACCACAGGCCCCCTTCCTATCCTGTCAGCCTCGTTTGCCTAACCTTTAGGCAAACTCCTAGCCTGAGTCCTCCTTTCCACCCTCGCCTAATTCGCTGGATCATCACTGCCCAGACGCTGTGCCCCAACCAGCACCAATGCCCCAATCAGAGGAGCCGACCCGCTCAGGGCTGGGGAGTGTGTGGGCGTGTGAGTGTAGGTGTTGTGTGTGGAAGAAACCAACTGTCCACCCGGGTGTCCACCCGCCGGAAATGCCCATCACGCCCGCCTAAGAAAGCGGGGATCAGCTGCCCATTGCAACCCCGCAAGCAGCATTCAGGATTGTGGACCTCAGAAGGAGCACGGCTCCACCCTGGGTCTGGACTCAGGGGGCGCCCCGACCCCCCAATAGCACAGCACCCCCCGCCTCGGGCGGTGGTAGGCCCCACAGCGACGTCACCCATTGTTTACAAATCAGCTGGAGCCGGTAGGATTCCGGCTGCCGCGGTGCACCGCGCGGCACGAGTGCCCGTGGGTCCCCGGCTTCCCTGTGCGCCCCGGCCCCAGCCCGGTCCCAGCCCCGGCTTCGGCCTCAGCACCGCGCCCGGCTCCGCCGCGGCCCGCAGAGCCGCCAGCGACGCCCGCAGAGCCCCCGGCGCCGGGGCGGGGGGCCATGCCGTGCCGGCGGGAGGAGGAAGAGGAAGCCGGCGAGGAAGCGGAGGCGGAGGAGGAGGAGGAGGAGCGGGGCGGCTTCCTCCTGCTGGAGCGGCCGGTGACGCGGGGCGGCTCGGGCGAGGTGGACCGTCTGGTGGCCCAGATCGGCGAGACGCTGCAGCTGGACGCGGGGCCGGACCGCCCGGCTTCCCCGTGCGCGCCCCCCGCGCCGCCGCCGGCGCTGCAGCCCCCGCGGCCCCCGGCGGACAAGGCCCGGCCCCCGGACCGGCCACTGCCGCCGCCGCCGCCGCCGGGGGCCCTGCGCTGCGCCCTCGGGGAGCGCGGCCGCGTGCGGGGCCGGGCTGCGCCCTACTTCGTGGCCGAGCTCGCCGCCGGCCCCAGCGCGCTGTCCCCGCACCCCGGCCTGGATGGGCCTTCCAGAGCCGACAAGCGGGGCGCCCCAAAGCAGCCTCTGTCGGGCCCGTGCCGGCGGGGATGGCTGCGGGGCGCCGCCGCCCCCCGCCGCCTGCAGCAGCGGCGCGGGCCGCAGCCGGAAACCCGCCCCGGCGGCGACGACGACCCGCACCGGCTCCTGCAGCAGCTGGTGCTCTCCGGGACCCTCATCAAGGAGGCCGTGCGGAGGCTGCACTCGCGGCGGCTGCAGCTGCAGCCGAAGCTCCCGCCGCTCCCGAGGCCGCCGGCGGCCGCAGCGCACGATCCCCCCTCGCCCCGCAGCCCCCGCGCGGCCGGCGGCGACCCGGGCGCGGCGGGGAGGAGGGCGCCGCCCCGGCCGGGCGACGGCGTCCCGGTGCCGGGCAGCTGACACCCGGGGAGTGGACACTGGAGGACAAGGGACCCCCCCTGAGGACTGCATCTCTCATCAGACCGGTGCACCGCCGCTCTGGGAAGCGGGGAAAGAAGCTAATCAAGATGTGGAATCGAAAAAGACGCGAATGTTTTCGTAGGGAACTGAGGTCAAGGCCCCGTTATAAAAAAAAAAAGGGGGGGGGGAGACTCGGTTGGCCTTATATACGGCAGATTGCAGAACGCACCCCAAGCTCACAATCCATTGGACTCTTTACTTTTTTTTTTTTTTTTAGGTATATGAAAATTTATTACTACTGTGATTTCACCATCAAAACTTAGGATCTTGGTCTTTCCTTCTTGCCTTTGTATAAGGCCAAAAGAGACACATTGGCTACTTTGACAACCTTAAAGCGTAACTCCAGGAATGTCACCAACAGCATGACCTTTGTGACCAAATCCAGCAACCAGAACTTCGTCGTTTTCCTCAATGAAATTCAAACAGCCATCATTGGGTACAAAGGCTGTGATTTTTTTTGCCATTCTTGATCAGCTGGACCCTGACACACTTCCTGATAGCGGAATTTGGCTGTTTGGCTTCAATCCCTACTTTTTCCAGCACAATCCCCTTTGCACGGGAAGCGCCTCGGAAAGGGTTGGCCTTCAAGGCCAAACGGGCCTTCTTGTACTGTTTGTCATGCCACTTCTGATCCCGCTGGTGGCTCCGGAGCTTCCGGGCAGAACGGAGACCAGGACACTTTCCCTCCTGCTGGTGCCACGGGCCTGAGAGAAAGAGCTGGACTCCTTGCTTTTGCTGTGACCATTCTTGGAGGCACCGCAGGCAGCTCCTCGCAGACCTCCCCTGTCCCTCCATCCATCCCAGCAGCGGTCCTGTGGCCACAGCTCACGCATCTCGCATCTCGGGACCGCCTCTCGCCCTAAGGATGAGGATGACCCCCCTTACTTGTTTGACCTTTCCAGGGTTGGTTCCTGATTCACTTTTTTTTGGGGGGGGTGGGGGGGAGATCATGAATAGGCGATCATTTCAAGGAGTACCTCAAACTGCCAGACTTGAAAATGTATCACATTTAAAAAAAAACAAAACCTGTTCTGTCTGTTGGGGTGCTGATTCTTAAAAAACACTCGGTACCATGAAAGGGCCTTTTCTCTGCCCCCCTGCTTTGCAACTGGCTGCGTTCCCCAGTGGAAGGGAAAGCCGCAGGGGCGTGCCCTGGGTGGGGATGTGCCCAGGGTGTGGACAGGAGGTGGGGGCAGGTGGTGAAGTGCTGGAGTCTCCTGGGGACAAGCGCACCGCCGCTGCCGCCACCGAGGGGGGTGGGTGGTAGGGAGGCGGGGACGTGGGCACCGGGGCGTCCCGCGGGCCTGCCGCAAGCCTGGCTTTTATGGAAACTGTCCAGAGAGTGTGGCCTCGGGTCCCTCCTCTCCCCCCTCAGCTCTGCTGTCCTATTCAAGAGGGCCGCCCTGATGCTCTCCGGGGGCCTGGCTGGGGGCTGGGAGACGCCACGTGACAGGCACTCCAGGGACACTCGGCCTCACACAGCAGCTTTATAATGGGCTGGCTCTCTGGGGCCATTTGTAATAACAGCTGCAATTCCCTGGGTGGATGGAGTGGATTTCCTCCCTCCGCCCCTCCCCCAGCCGTGCCAGATCGCTTTTGTAAGTGAAGGAAACCGTGTAGAAAATGTGTGTGACCCTCCAACATGGAGAAGCGGCAGGCTTTGCCAGGGTGAACCGCGATGAAATGGTTTGTTCACTCACTCGGAGGGGTTTGAGGCCGTTTAGCTGGTGTTCTAGTTTTTGTAAGATACAATGGCTTGTCCATCATCCAGATGTGGCTGTTGACCTAATCTACACTTCGTACCGGAGTGTCTGGAATCGTGGCTGTCCTGATTACAGGATTTTAACTTAACTGAAATATCTATTTGTTAATAAATGTGTTGCGTTTCATGTCTGGTTTTGTTTTGTACTTGCCGTCCAGAACACATTTCTCTGCTCTTCATAAACATGAAAACACTTGAAATCCCTCTCAGCCTCGCTCTCGGATGGTAATTAGAGTGCCTTTGTGTCTGAACAGCTCACTAGTTAGACAGGGTCTGCGCGCCTGGGTGTGTATTGGTGCTGGCACGAAATTAAATGAGAGTGAGGTCAGGTTTAGACCAATCCCTCTCACCAAAACCCCAGACCCTTGGGGTTACTAATCCATAAGGGACATGTTTTACGAAGCTGCTTCTGACTGTCTTAGCAAAGATCAGTCACGGCAGATGGGGAGGCTTATCACTTTTCTTTTTCCTCTCTTCCCACTGTGTTCATTCATCATGTGGACCTGAGCAGCTCCTGTTTAGGGGTTGCTCGGGATGCCAGCCTGTGGCGGGAAACCTGGCCGAGGGTGTATTCACGTATTGCTCTCTCTGCCCTTGGCATGTTCGCTGCCCTTCTCTCCCTAAGAAGTGACGTCATAGCCCATCTCCGTCCCTCCAGGTTTGAGTTACCTAAGTCTGTCTCCTAAAGGAAGGTTCAAATTCACGTACTCAAATGGGGACCTTGGACAAGTTGCTCAGCGGTGGGCTTCTCCTTCCTCCCCTGTACAGCAGCTGAGAAGTGAGCTGAAGGAAGGGGTTCATGGTGACTGGCACATACTAGAGATAAACAGTCTTTGGTCTCTACCCCTTCTTTCCCAGGACACTCCCTAAGGGGCTAAGGGACCCTCTGATTCTCAAGAATCAAGGTCATCCAATGATTCCAAAAGTTCCTTCTGGATCCATGAGAATCCTTCCTAATTCCCTTTTGCACTCGGCACCTGTTGTCTATACTTGCCCATTCTCTCACATGCACAGACCCTGAGGGTCTCTGAGAACCCTCTGAGAAGTGCTTTAGGGACACACCACGCTGGCCGTTGCCCACTACTTGCCCAGAAGGAGTTGTAGGGGGCTCGGTCCAGTGCCGCCCAGCACGGGGAGGGTGATTGTGTGGCTCTCACACAAACTGAGGAAGGAGGCCTCCAACAATGCTCGGTCTGTCACCTCTGGGCACTGAGCAACAGGGGGAAGTGGTCAGGTGCCGGCTTGCCCTGGCTTGGAGGTAGCCCTGAGTCCTTGGCCTGCTTCCTAGCTGGGGTGGGGTTTCCCAGAGGTCAAGGGTTAGGAGCAATCCAGGGCCAAAGTGGCCGTGATTCGATGTCACTGTGAAGTCATGTCAGAGTCTAGAACCCAGGCCTCTTTCCAATAGCCTGATATTATCATACATAGTTCAATGCCGCTCACTGCACAACTCCACACACACACTATAACGTGAGGGACACCCTGCAGTTGTCCAACATGGTGGCTCTACCATTAGAACCATGGAAAACCATGCCCCACACCCCGAGGCTGAGCTAGGGAAAGCTGTAACCGTTTTCTTTCAACGTGGTCAGCATCCTATGAAGACAAGTTGGCCACAGAAAATGGCTGTGTGAGATAAAAGGCCAACGCTATACACTCAACAAACAACACAACATAAACAAAGAAACCAGCAAATCACAAGGGATTTGGAGAAAAGAATGCCACACTTCACAGAGAACTCCAGAGGCTGCTACCCCAGGATTTCATTCTAAATTAGGCCTAAATGCTACAATATTTGGATTCGGGTTTTACCCTTTCTTGCTCTTTCCTTTTTCAGCTCGGAAACAGAAACATGGAGCGATGATCAGACGCCACTTTCCTATGCAGCAAAGTCTGTATTGAACCTTGTGATCCCTTCCTTCCAATCAGGAAAGAGTTACCCTGGCAACCAAATTACTAACTCACTCAATTAGCTCCCCCCTCTCCCACCCGTGCTCAGTAATCACAGTATGTCAGCCCTGGGAGCATGCAGCCTTCGGTGGCCCAGTGCTACTGGCTTGCTTAGAGATGGAAGCGCAGAGGTGTTTCCACACTGAGGTGCAGTCCATGTGAACGCCGTGAAGGCGAGGGCAGGCGAAGGGGCTAAAACTCTTCCACGCCGCACTTCCTCCTGGTTTTCCATCCATAGTTAAAGGAGAACAGGTGACCTGCCTTTAACAGTGTTTCCCAGGAGGCATAATAGAGGGGTGTAGACTCTGCAGGCAGCCCTCTATTGCTAGCCCAGTGGTTCAGCACAGGGCCCTTCACCTCAAGGATCCCAATGAACTCATCTGCAAAATGGGGAATAAAAATAAAGCCTACCGCCCTGACCAGGTAGCTCAGTTGGTTAGAGCATCATCAAGGTTGCAGGTTCAATCCCGGTCAAGGCACATGCAAGAAGCAACTGCTCGGCTGGGGTGGCTCGGGGAGTTGAGCACCAGTTCAGGCATCCAAAGGTTGCCAGTTCTATTCCCTGTCATGGCACATGCCCAGGTTGTGGACTCTATCCTCGGTGGTGGGGGGAGGGGGTGTACAAAGGACAGCCGATTGATGATTCTCATCATTGATATTTCTCCCTCTCACTTCTTCTTTGAAATCAATAAAAATATATAATATATATGTGTTTTTGTGTGTGTGTATAATTGTGTGTGTGTGTATAATTTTTAAGAGAAAAAAAAGAATACAGCCTACCTTGAAGAATTGGGTGAAGATTAAATTAGATAATGTCAAATTAGACAATGTATGAGAAACAAATGGCAAACATTCAAATAATAAAAGATCATTCCTGGAAGCTATTGCATAAGAATACTTTAAGTCCTGCCTCTTAATGAATTCTTCGATCTGTTTCCCCTGAAGGTCAGACCAGTTTCTTAAGTCTACCTCCCTGTTGTATAGGTAAGTACTCAGGAACGTGCATGGGAAGGTTTAGTCAGTTGAGAAGAGGTTTAATCACAAAAGGATGGAGGTCCCCTTCAAGCTAAACCTTGAAAGCAGCTCGGGATTGGGACCGGTGGGAGACGGGCAGCAGGGGTATTACAAAGGAGGGGGGGGGAGTGGCGAGGATAGCCTGGAACCCCAGCCCTTAGTGCCTCTATTTCCCCTTGGAAATCCATCCCCTTCTATTCAAATTCAGGGCTCCCCT